TATGTATGTATGTATGTATGTATGTATGTATGTATGTATGTATGTATTTTTTTTGCCCTAAAGAGGCTTCTTTTCAGGTGAACGAGGGCCGTTTTGGCCGTTGGTGCCGCTGCCAGCGCTCTGCACGAGGGAGACGTCCTAGAAGAAGTCCACTTGCATTTCATCATCGGTGGTGAGGCTTTCTTCTTCATCTCTCTCTTGGCTACTGGGTGGCCGGTTCGTCTCTGACTGAGCTCCAGTGGCATTTGACACCAGGGTGCCGGTAGCTTGGCTGGGTATCATGGCCTGGTCTGGATGTCGATCTGCAGAGGTTCCACTGGCATGGGCAGGTGGGCCAGGCTTGGCCGTGGAGTTCCTTTCATCAAGTGCCGTTGGGAAATGCAGCCGTCTTGGAGTAGGGCCTTGGGGTCTATCCTGGTCGGGGGGCCTCAAGTGCTTGTGCTGCACTGTCAGCTTCTTGGCCGAGGGCTTCACTCTTCCGCTTGAAGAATTCACTGATGGGAGGGGAGCCTTTGCCACTGGTTCCTCGACAGGCCTTGGTGAGGTGGAGGTTGGAGATGATGCGACAGTCTCCGTCCAAGTTCCATTGGCATCCACATGAGGTGCAGCGCACCTTGCCACCTTTCTGCCACAGACTGTGGCTTGATGTATGTATGTATGTATGTATATATATATATATACATATTTGTCTTTTTTTTTTAACGCATCCGGTGACTGCCGGGTTTATCCACTTTTGTGTTCTTTCCTGTTTGCCTTGTCGACTTTTGTTAGGTGTCTCAAGTCCGAACTGATTTGTTTGAACACCTTCTGCAGGCCGGGAATGTGTAAAATGAGCTGCGGTCGCCCCGTGCAGCCGGGATTGACGAGGAGAGCCAGCTGGGAAGCGGAAGTTTTTTGTGTTTCGGCCCAGGCTTAATGGCTAAGCAATTGCCTGGAGAGGGGAATGACTTGCAGCAAAGTTGTTTTTCCTGATTTGCAATAGGGTGCATTGCTGATTTTGCAGGGGCATGAAGGCTTTTGATACCTGCTGCAACTTGACAAAGACAGGCAGCAATCACAACATGGACTGTGAAGATGCAGATATGCTTCTAAGGCAAAAAATGTGCACAAGGCAAGGGGGGGCATGACGAGAATTGCCAATGCCTTAGCTTCTAAGCACGAGGCCCCGGCCACTGCCTCGTTTTGGGCTGTCACGCTTAGGTGGAGGCACTTCCTCATCTTCGGCCGCCCTCATGCGGAAAGACACCGGTCTGGAGGACCCCAGGCGGGGTGGCAGACAGAGAGGGAGCGGAGGGGGGGTCTGGAGGGTGGGTGAGCGGAGGTCCTGGCTTTTTTCACTGACGTGAGCTGTGAGGTCCTGGTTGAAACAGCTGCTCTCCTCGGAGGAGAGTTCTGAAAACAGATTTGCAGAGTAGTGTATATATATATAGTTCCTTTTCTTCTATGCATCCGTTTGTTTTGGCGCAATGAACGTGAGGAGGTTGCTGAAAAAGGGGTTTATTCCAGATCTTTTCAGAGCTGTTTGTTTTGATTGAAAGCAAAAGTCGTGTGGAATATCAGAACTGCTTTGAAGTCTGTTGTTAACAGCCTCAATTTGGTCTCTTCTGCGTATCTAAAACTCCATCCAGCCTCACAGCAGGAGATCCTCAAGAAGCACGTGAGCAAAGCAGGGCTGCCCGGGTGGCCAATAGTGATCTTCTCTAAATACAACATATGGATATGTCATAGGCAGGACACTATGTGAGCTAGATGGGCCCATGATTTCGCTTTTTGGAATTCGAAGAGTCGAAGAGGTCCCCACAAGGTCGAATCGACATGTTTTTCTTCTATCTTCGGACTGCCGCTAGGTGATGGCAAGTTCCGGTGCTGGTGATGCTGTCACTGCCGAGAAGGCAAAACAGGTGGGGACAAGCATTTGTTGCTCTACAGTCATTGACAGAATCCCTTGAACTTCATTGCAGCTTCAAGGTTTAGCCTGCAAGTCTTGGTTTATTGTTTGACGATGCCTTCCTGGCTCAAGTTTTAACAGAGTGCAAAGACATAATGTTTTTTAGGACGCCATTCAGTTGGAACTGGCCGTTCACATTTAGACACGTCTTGCCATTGGTGTCCTTGGGTATTCAGGAACTGGTAGCGGTCGAAGTTCATTGTTCAAAGTTATCGCGGTGAGCAACTTGCCATGGCGGATCCTCCAGCTCCTCCCGCACCACCTCCTCCGCCTCCTTTGGCTTTGCACAGGACTGAAGTTTGAGTTTAGACCTTTGCTCGTGCTGTATCGCCGAACTAGGTATTATCGAAGAGGCTCGAAAAAGAGAATCGCTTTCAACCTTCAAGAAGGCATTAGAATTCTACTAGTAACAAGTGCCACGCTAGTAGTAACAGGTGCCTTACTAGTAGTAACAAGAAGCTATTAACCAATCTCGGGTGCCAAACCGGACGCACACGTGGTGGACCAAACCGGAAAGCCTCGATCCAGGACCGTCTCAGCGGGCGGAATCCCCGTGTTCAGGGGAAGCAACTTGGTCCGGTGAAAACACAAGGAGCGGTCGTTTCTGTCGGCACCGTTTCTTTTAGTTTCTTTCAAATCGTCTCGTTTCCTACCAAGAGACGATGCATTCCATTTTGACTTGTGTTGAACGTTGGACGAGTAGTTGAAGGAGTGGTCTGGGACATCGATGGGCTGGCTATTTCTGACGTTGAGCTGTGTTCCCTCCTTCCATCTCCTTCCTTTTCGATGTCCTTATGAAGTACACTACTTTGAGGATATTGTTGCTTTGGGAAACGTAGCATGTCGATTGCTACTCCAAAAATGCATTATATACTATCCTTGATTCTATATAAACATATGTTAAAGCTGTCATGTTCAATTTTCCATGAACAGTTAAGGTGATCTCGTGGTGAAGCACCGGCCAGACCTGAATTTCGATGGTCTCAGACCAGCTCCAGACCGCGTCGGAGGCTTGGAGGTCGTCTTGGTCAAGTGCTCAGATGGTGGGGAGAACGGGTGGTTTGGCCGCCGAGGTTTGGTTTGGAAAGATGATCTTTGAGGTTGCGCATGATGAGTGGACAGTGAGGAGCTCAGCGGACAGTGAGGGTTGAGGATGTTTGACGAAGTCAAGATGCCTTTGGCCCAGGTGGACAAGTTCTTGAGCCTGAGCTGCATCTACTCCATTGCTTTGCTTTTGGGGTGCTTTTCCCGAATGCGTTTAACTCTGGGGGTTTGGGGCTAGAGCTGGGTTCGCGTGACATGGCCAAACTCGCAACTGTTTGTATGATTGCTGGGAGATCACACCATTTTCCGGCGAGTGTTCAAGTAGGGTGCCCCACAAAGTGTCCCGCAAGAGTGCTTGACGACAGTCTTTGAGTAGAGTAGAGTGCCTCACAAGAATCAAATCACAGTGTCATCAGGAACTATGGTGCTGAAGGTCAAACCTATTTGGTGACCAGGACTGAGTCGTAGTGGGCAGGGTGTAAAGCTGCAATCTGCGGACGTCAGGTTCGTTGTTGGCAGCCTATGGAACCACTTTGACTATGGCCAATAGGCTTGTGGTACCATACTCATGAGGCAAGGCGTGAGGGAGCAAGGCATGGTCAGGTTTCCATGGACTGGCCGTCAGGTCCATTTATAGAAACGCGGCCGATAGGTTCGTTTACACCGCTTGGCAGGGCATCTCGTCCAACAGGGCATGTTTCTGCTTTGACTCTCAGAACTCGAATCAAAACTGACTGGTGATTGGAGGACAGCAACTGGCGAGAAGTTTGCAGCGAAGTTCTGCACCAAAGAAGATTCGATGGAAGTGAATATAGTTCAAGAGCTTCCGCGACAGTTGGTCAAACACGAGAATTTTATCAAGTATGAGCTCATTGTGCTTACCTTAGATGAATTCTACTGGCTGAACTTGGAAACGAAGTGATGCTGTAGAGATTATTAAAGAGCAGTAGCGAGTCGCGAGTACTCGATTTTGCAACAATTTCTTCTTACCTTCTTACTCCCGCCTTCTTGGCGGCTTCCCCCCGTCCCTTCCCCCAAACATGAGGAGTTTGAGCTCAGGTGCTCAACGTGCATGAGATCTTTGCGCCGGCGCACCACATCATTTTCATGGAACACATTCCAAATGGCGAGCTCTTCGACGTCCTCGCATCCCCAGAGCCCTCCGTATGTGGAAAGCCTTTGAGTGAGGGAACCTCCAGGAGATTCTTGCGCGATGTCATCAGTGGAATGGCAGAATGCTACAGATTTGGTGTGACGCATCGCGATCTGAAGTAGCTTGGCCTCCAGAGATTGGGTCGTAGTTTTCTTATTCTTATGTTTTCTTAGTGAGGTGCTTAACACATCTTAACACTAGGAGGATGCTCTAAACCTGCCAAGGCCGGAAAATCTCTTGATCAACGAGCTTGGCCGCATTGTTATTATTGATATGGGTCATGCTAAACGTGTCCACAGCACTGGGGCTCCAACTCCACTTGCCCTGTCCCGGACCACCACCACCAATCCCTATGGCACACCAGCCTTCAATGCACCTGAAGTGTCTGGCGGCAGAGCCTATGACTGTGAGTTGTCCGATGTTTGGAGCGTGGGAGTGATTGCGTTCTACCTCCACGGGAAGTTGCCGGCCTTCACCGCGGGAGGAGGAGTTGCGGATTGGAAGGATGTGAATGGACCCAACAATGATCAGCTTTGGAACAAGATCATCAGCTCCGGCTACTACCCGGTGTTTCCGGAAGAGCTGAAAAGCTTCATCAACACCTTGTGGCGCTTGGACCCTGGTGAGAGGCCAAGATTTACTCAGTTGGATAAAGCCATCAATGGAGATGATGAAGTTGTGAAGGAGTTCCCCGGCTTGAAATGGCTTGCCCGGGACCTGAATGATATCGAGAGCTTCATTGATGAGCTGTCACGCAGCTGTCCAAACAAAACGTTTCACTCCCCCGGCATAGGAGCCAAGAGATGGTAGGGCCCGGATTGGCCCGGGCTGGTAGAGCCCTGTTGACCACGGCCGCCAGCTGTGAATCCTGAAAAGGACAACCAAAGGAGCGGTATATTTGTATGATTTTGTATGTAAGGTTCGACTGTTGCGAACAACAAATCCATCTCTCTTGTTGAGTATCCTGGAGACGCATCCTGCATTTGATGTCCCCCAACTCTGCTTTGTTGCGAGGCGGTGTCACGCCCACAGCTTACATGGAGTGTGTGGATGGCAGCATTCATACATCTTTGTTTTTTTGCTTTGTTTGTTTGTTTGTTTGCAGGCCATTTGCTGGAACCATTGGGCACTACTTTGCAGGTGTGGCAGCTCGGGAGATTGTCTTTTGAAGTGCCAGATGTCAATCCCACAGCAGGCCAAGCTTGCGATAACTTGACGTGAAGATGGATATCCTCATGTTGGATAAGCTGATGTCTTGTGGGATACTGGTTTTCATGCTGCTACAAGGTGTAAGATGTTGTTGCTGAAGATGGTTCTCAAGACCAGACCCCATTCAGGCCATAATTTAGGCTGGCTTGACGTTAGGGTCGTGCTGGATGAATTCTCCCTAGATTTTCGACTCCGTTGAAACAATCCAGCACGGTTGAACCCTTGGTGTGGTAATCAATTTGTACCTGCAGGTTGAACTTGACTTTTGCATTTGCGGAAGAAGCTCATTCCAACGTGTCGTTTTAAACATGATATTCGCCACATTTGAGTAGAATTCTGCGGTCTTCCCGTGGGTGAAGGCTGCATACACGTTAGTATTGCTGAATTGAGGATGTGTCTTGTACGCCGAGTGGGTCGCTTTCCGCCAACCTTTCATACCGTGTACAGACATAGCGTGTTCTGTGGGCCACTTGTGTTCGGAGGTGATCATACGTGACGTTGGAAGGGGTGTCCTTTTTCATGTCACGTAGTGAGGCGTACCGTTGGTCCTGTGACGTCCTGTGAATCGAGCTGATATGGTCGGTGGTGATTTGTGATGGGAAGCATGATCAAGAATCTTTCTCTCTAGAAATCACCTGCTAGACTTTTTCTCAAGACACATACTTGTTTTGCACCATACTTTCTGAGAACATATCTGCACTTTTCCCTATAGACATTCCTTCTGCCATGTGTTCTATTCTCCTTAATCTTTTCACACTTCAAACCGCAGTTTTTTGGAAGGCTCTCGAAATCCCTGCATGACACAGCCATCAAAACGGTTGTGCTTTGAAGCGCAAAAATACACTCGCAGACCTACCTTTGCTGCCACAGGACGCAAGAGCACATGCGATGGACTCATATTCCCGACTTGTATTCACTTGCGATTTCCTGTTGGTTCTTTGGCCATGCGCGTGTGATGCTATTGGCGCACCAGATTCTGGTATTTCTGCAACTTCGGACATGTCACACAAGTAAAGTTCCTTTGATTGTGTTTGGGTTGGTCTCGGAGGGGTTTTCGTCTACCTTGTTGAGGAGTGCTGGGGCCTGGTGGGGTCCTGCTTGGAGGTACACAGCACACCTACACTGACCTACGCCTACGCACACACACACACACACCCCGAAGTCCTCCAAGACTTTTCTGCATTCCTTTTGCTTTGCAGGTGGATGACAAAGCCGCAGCACGGTGGGTTTCGGAGTATGGGACTTCAGGCTCAGCTCAGCTCAGCGGAGCATGGGATCGCGGGTATGGGGTCTGTTCCTGTCAGGTGTTATGGACCTGACAGCCTTCACGAAACTTGCACGAGCTCTGATACAGGAGGGAGTTCGTGCAGCGTGTGTCCCATGTATTTCTTGGCCAAGTCATGACATTTTTTCGAGCTTGCTCTGCATTTTCACCCACTCATCAGTTTGACTCCAAATGTAAATAATCAATCAGCAATAGGTAGTGCAGAGCCACTTTGTTTTGGCAGTTTCACAAAAGCACACTTACCTTTGGCACATTTTGATCGCCGGTCGACAGGATCGGCTGCAGATCTGGTTTCCGGAGAAGCTGCCTGCACAGATCCACAACTTCGTGCGCAAGACCGGTGTCCCAAAGACAACTTCACCCCAGTGACGAGTTCCAAATGTGCCATCTGGGGTCTGCACTTTTGGATGGTTTGACGTTTGAAAAGACTCTGGACACGCAGAAGTGATTTTTTGAGTGTTATTTGGGGCGAGCGATTGAGTAGTAATCCCCCTGTGAGGAATCCGAGCTCCAAAGTGGAGTCTGTCTACGACGTTGGAAAGCTTCTAGGCGAGCGAAACGGTCGACGGGAGCGAAACTGGTCTAGCAATGTGAAGGAAGTGCTTGGGGCTAGGGCTTCGAAAGGCTTGAGGTTTGAAGCCTCTTGAGGTCTAAAAAGTCTTTCCCGCACGTTGTTTTCCACTTGTCACCTACTTTGGTCAACAAGGTTTGGGATTGGAGGGATTGAAGACCACATCCCCTTAATAAAGATGATGACCTGATGATGGATGATGAGATGAGGACCTGGACCTGATGATGGGTGATGGTTGATGGGATGGTGTGTGAATCAGTTTCACCATGGACCAGAAGATATTAGATACTAGCCAAAAAGAAAAATACATAGAGAACAAATTAAGTTTCTTTTTCCCTGGGGGAGCTGGGCTTGATTAATCGGGGGAGGTTTCTGCCAGAAAGAAGTTATTAGGGTGATGTACCAGGTTTTAATTAGTGTAGTATTGGGGGCTCGAGCTGGGCTTGATTAATAAGGAGAGGTTACTTAATCCTCTGTCAACATTACTTGAGAGTTGGAGGCAGGTTGCCAAGCCAAACAGCTTGCACTTGATTCCTGTACTGTAGAAACTATTGGAGTCGATACATTGTCAGATCAATGGGAGAACACAGACCCAGCAAAGTAACCCGCCTGTGAAACTTCCAGGAGAAGGTAGCTTCGGCAAAGTCTACAACGTCCAGTCTTGCTCTTACTGACGGGCGAAGACCGGCGCGCAGTCTCCGTGTCCTGACTCTACATGTGTCGATGATCCGTCTTCGCCTCGAGGCATCGAGTCTCCGGGGAATCGAGAGTCTGCAAGAAGATTGCGAAGCTCAAAGGGACCGTCAAGCGAGCTCAAGAGCCCCTGACTGGCATCGGGCTCGCTCAAACGGGGCTGAATGGGCTGATTGCAGGAGACACGGGATGAAGGTGGAAGAGATTTTGCAGGAGATTGAAAGCATGGCAATGCTAGATCACCCCAATGTCATCAAGGCTGGCGAGACGGGTGATCATCATACGTGCTGACGCGTGATTGTTGGTGCAGGTTTAGAGGCAAGCGGCAAGCAGGGCAATCAAGAGATTGGTCCATCCGAGAAGGTTTGCTTGCCAGCTTGATCCACAGGTCTATGAATACTTTGAAGACAAAGACAGTGTTTCGCAGATCATGGAGTGTGGCACTTAGTCTCTGCTTCGGAGGTGCACTCAGTCTTTGCTTTGGGTGGGGAAACTGACGAATCAAAGACGAAGCCAGCCTGAATCTAAAAGTGATGCCATGTGGTTGAGCCCATGAGATGGCAGCTTGTTTACCTGGTACCCATTCAGCTACAGATCAGACCCATTACCAACCAAGGCCTTGCTGCGGAGGTGAGCTTCAGGATCGAATTAATGAGGTCTTCCAGCTGGGAGCTGAGCCAAGCCATCCCCCCCAACATGTCCAGCCATGTTGTCAGGTATTCTCAACACATCTCAAAGGGGATTCACTTTGCTATCCACTTGAGTGTCGTCTTCGTCTGTCAGGAAAGGGCAGCCACGATATCCTGAGAGTTTTGTGTGCGACGTGATGAAGCAAACCTTGAGGGCTCGACCCTAGGGCTCGACCGTCTCAAGAGACAAGAGACAACAGTCTCCTTGGCCAGGCCTTGGCCTTCATGCACAGCCACAATTTCATGCACAAGGATGGGGAAGAAGAGGGAGTTGGAAGGGTCCAACTGGCTGGAGACCCACGTGAAGACTAGTCCAAGTAGTCTGAAATTGTTGCATGACTAGTTCTGAAGGCTTCCTGTGGAGATATCAGACTTCTCCTTTTCAGGGAGGGGTTTCTTTTGCTCCTTGCACTTTCCCGCGCGGCGCACCGGGCTCGCGGGCTCGCGTCGGGCCGCGTGAGGACTTGAAGCCGCAAAACATCATGTTGGCCAGGGGCACAGCCCGGCACAACGGAGAGTCAATCAGCAGTGTCCTAGATGAATAGGCTGCCAAAGTGAAGCAAGTTCATATGGGGTGGTACTTCTGGATTGGACAGCTCCTACTTTTAAAGGAAAACCAATGCCCCTTTTTGGTGGACATGGTGAGTGCATGGAGAAGATCTCATTGCAAAGAGTTCTTTGTCAGAATAATTTTCGACAAAGGTTGCCGGGTAGTCCTTTTTCAGGATATTTTTCAAACAAGGTGGCCACAGCGCCATTTGTATTCGCACCGCGCTTCCTCAATTTCTGCATTTTCAAGCAAGCGCACATTGCGAGAACGTTTGACATCCTGAAGCATATTCGTAGAAAATTGGGGAATGAGTTGAACCCAACTTCAAATGAGTGGATAACATGCGACACCTTAGGCTCATTGAGCCCAACCTTGATAAAGGTATGCAGACAATGGCAGCGGCTCTGACTGAAGCAGACTTACAAAGCTTGAGCGCGTAGACCAAACGCACTGTCCCGGGACGCGGTGAACAATAATGGAGTCGCTGCTGCGACTGGATGACACGTAACACTATGTAAAACATTGTAAAACATAGTGCTTTCTATCAGCGCTGAGCAAAACAAGGTCCATGTTCGCTGTACCTCAAAAACACGACAAAACAAACATAACTATGAGAGAACATACACTACATAACACTGGCTTCTTCGAAGCGCGGACCGAATTCCAGCGCATACGGTTGTTTCGGTACTATCCTAGGGTGAGTCTGAGGTGAGCAAAGACGCCTCATCAATCAAAGTTATTGATTTTGGCTTGGCAGAACTCTTCGAGCCAGACCAGAAGGCGCTTGGCAGAACTCTGCGTGTACAGAGAAGGTATGAGAAGGTTGCGTCAATGATTTTGTGGGGTTTGCCGAGTGCTTGATGCCACGGGGATGAACAACTAGATTCTAGATGCGGGTCCTGACTTGACACGTGTGGTTCCAAGAGCTTGCTTTTCAATGCTTTTCGTATATTTTTTCATCACATGGTCACAGCCATGCTGCCCAGCATTCGGATGCCTTTGGCGGTTGGTGCCCCAGATCGGTGGGAACAGAACTGGCTGTGGGTCATGGCGCTTGGGAGCCTGCACTCCGTATGCGGCCGCATGCGGTACTTGTGTGCGTATGATCAATCCACCAGAGCCACGACGATAAAGCGGAAAAACCAACGAACACATGACGGAGGACCACAGGCCGCCACAAGCCTTGGATCGACCACGTCACACTACCTTGGTGCCAGAACTTATTTACCAATTGGTTGTGATAATATCAAACAATATCAAAAACCTAGGTTGAACCATTCTGCAACTGCATCAAGAATACTGTCAAGGGACGTGGCTCTGGGCCCTTGGGGGTCCCAGGTATGGTTCACCAACTCAGGAACTTTGCTGTACATGGCACCAGAGGCTTCGGATGCCGTGTTGCTGTTGCTTCAGTTCCACTTTGCCCTGTTTGCCCTGTTTTTGTCCTGTTTGTCCTGCGCCAAACTGTGACACGTCTCTCATTCACAGCACAGGTTTTCAATCTGAAGCTGGAATTCAAGTCCGACATTTGGAGTGTGGGATTCTGAGACGAGTCCCACTGATGAAAAGTGTCAGTGTGGAGCGTGAGTATAACGTGTCCTTTTTCTAACGCGGTTGTGGGCTGTATTCAGGCTGGCGTTATTCTGTACAACCTTTTGACAGGCAGTGAACAGAGATTCGGTCACACGGGCTCACGATTTTGCTCTTCCTGTTTTCAGGCGACTATCCTTTCATGGCCACTTGGCCACTTCCAAAAGGGAAGACCATGGAGTGGCAGCAGACTGAGGCAAACAATCTTTGGATTAAAACTTACTAGATTTGGAGGTTGGCCAGTCAACCAATTGGCTTCAAGCGGTTTTGTCAAGCAAACGCCAACACCTCTCGTTTAGTATGCTAGATTTGTTTGATTGGTTTATGATAGTGTTGTGTGTGTGCAGTGCAAGCGAGCAAACCAGCAAGGTGGCAGAATGAACTAACTCGGTCTATCAAAGAGGACTGAAGTAGTCGCACCACCAGCGACACATTTTTGCAATTTTGCGTGCATCTCTCTTTCTCTCTCAAGGTATGTGTACCGTATATACATACAAATATGTGTTGTACTTTATCCCGAGATCTTTAGACGCAGCATGGTCCTATCCAGATTGGCGGAGCTAGACAGTTAAAAAAATATATATACTGTATATATGTACAGTATATAGTCATTGAATGAAGACAGATACAAGGAAGCAAGGGAGCCAGGAATGAAGAAAGGAAGAAGAAAGCAAGCAAGCAAGCAAGGAACGACAAAGGAAGGAAGCAGTAAGGAAAAAAGAAGAGGAGAGGATATGTAGGAGAGGAAAGGAACGGAAAAGAACGAAATGATGGAAAGGAGGGGTGCAAGGAATTGCAAAAACGAAGCATGCTTAATCAACGCAGGCAGTCTTTTGTTACTGTATGCCCCCAACTTTTGTTGTTTGTTCAAGCAACTCCTCACCAAGGGACTTGAGTCATCCAGAGACTATACACGTGTCGTGTGCAGCAGGCCAAGACCAACTGGTTCGTACGCGGGAGGTTAGCCGAGGTACAAGTATACATGGGCAGGAATGCTAGTGTGACACTATCTTGCTAGGATCACTTCCGAGACAACAAGCTACTTCACAGCGCTTGGTCTCCCGAAAGCCAGAAACTGACAAGTAATGCTGTGGTTCTTGCAATAACTTCAACACATTTGGATGCGTTTGTAGTTTGTAGGTGTTGATTTGTTGCGACTCACCTTGGAGAAGGACCGCTACCAGCAACTTCCGGTCTTTCTTGAGATGATTTTAGTCGTTCTTAGACGCTGCCGTGCTGCCCGTGCCGTGCCGCACAGGATGTTGGCAAGAGACCAGGAGCAGCAGGGTGCTTGGAGCAACGTTGGTTCAAGACACACGAGGCTTGTGGGTGATGGGTGGGTGACGACACTCCGCCTGAACGTCAATTAGTAGCGATGCCCTTTGTTACTAGTAGCAAACATTGCTCCTAGTAGTACGGCCAGGAGCCCCTAGTAGCTTTTTGTTCCTAGTAGCGATGCCCTTTGTTACTAGTAGCATCTAGTAGCTATTTTTGCTACCAGTAGTAAGGCCAGGAGCTACTAGTAGCGTCCTCGCTCCTAGTAGCGATACCAATGGTTACTAGTAGCGTCCTTGTTCCTGCTGGTGCAGAGCCCCACGAGGCAGTTGAGCGGTGTATTTTTGTTCTTGCGACAATTCATCGCGAGGCCGCCCCGCCACCGCTGTCGGTTGGTGTGACCCAATGCCACTTGCCTGCTTTGAGAAGTGACTTGTACCGGAGGCACCTGATACTCTTACTCTGAGCAGAACTCATCACACGTTGTTTCACAAGCACTTCTGTGGGTTCCCTTTGATGTTTACAAGACATTCTGCTTCTCAAAGCACGGAGAGCCAATGGTTTCACGCCCGACAGCAAGGTCTTGAGGCCTATGCCAGCCAGCCAGAAATGAAGAAGGCACGCAGCTGCTGTGTGGAGAATGTGAACGCCATCAGCAGATGTTCCTTGGGCAGGGATCCACTAGCGTGTCCGTTGAGTCTACTCAAGACGTTACCTTCTTCCTGGACGCTTCGTTGAGAAGCGAGTCTGATGAATCAAAGCTTTTCTCGCAGCTGGTGGGTGCCTGACAGCAGGCAATATTCTTGCTCATTGCGCACATGTGCACTGCGTCTGATGCTGACAAGAGTGTCACGCAAGCGTTTGACTTTCTTACTTCATCCTGTCATTGTTCATGGTTTGCCGACTTTATCAGATTCTCAGTTCTTATCCATTTTCCCTTTTCAGATTTGGTTTGAGGCCAGCGCTGCAGGAGTTGCGCGCGATCTTTACCCACTTTGATGTCCTCAACAGGAGTGGCTGCCGGATTCGGAGCGTCGCGGGCGCAGCCTTTCGCCGCTGTCGGATTCGGCCGAACGACTGCAGGGGTGCTCTGTCACTCTCCCACTTCAGGGAGGTGCTGTTCCAAGCTGGCATGGCAGCTCTACAGGCCCCATGCCAAGCTCATGCCGACATCCGCTAGCAGCTAGCTAGCAAGTTACGTCGTTACGCACAAGTAGAAACCGCCGTGCAGGTGGAGCAAATCACGCACGCCTTGGATCAGGCCAGATGATTTTTTGAATGGAATCCAAATGAGTTGGACGAATTCTTGGGGAGTTGTTGTTATGTAGTTGCTTCATTTCTTGTCCAATGAATGGCCTTTTAATCACTTCATAGAACCGTAGAATTCAGGTTGATGTTTGATGATTTTAAAGGACGCCAGTGGCATGGTCACGTGGACAGAGTTCATCGCTGCAGCATTGTGCGTCAGCGTGTGTAGAAACAGGCCGATCAACGTTCACATTTTATCGCAGTGATTCGATCTGTGACACTTTCGCATTCGCTGGGTGAGTTTTGCAGTCCCATTGCCTGACCATAAAATGATTGTCAATATGTATATAAGTATATATATATATGCCAAAGAATCGGTCGCAAGATAGGTGATTGCCGTGGATTCCTTGTGAACACTTTGTGACTTAGTCTCAATATTCCTTGTCGAGCCACAACTTTGACAAGGCGATTGGTCGAAGCTGCTTTTGCTGTTTTTGACAAAGACATGGATGGCAAGGCAAGACCGCAAAAAGTACATCTTTTTGTTTGATCCTATGCAACTTTCTTTTCGCAGGTTTCGATGGAGGACTTTGCGGAGTACTTTGCACTCGGCGACGTTAGAGATGTTAGCTTCTCAGAATTTTCACTGGAAACTGGATGTTCAAAAGCCCTGCCTGCCTGCTTCCATTGACGGACAGTTCAGACCCACCATTTTGCAACACTTTAGTCGGCACACTGTCACGTGTAATTCATCCGGGCACGCATCAGTGCATAGATACAGATAGTATGTAAACAAGCAAGGACAGGTACCAGCATAGCAGCAAAGGCTGTTGTGAAATCGCTTGCTAAGCAACTTGAAGCATACATGAGTTGAGGACTTTGTCAAGATTGCGTTTCCAGCTCAATCTGGGCTTGGGAGGGACCGGCGCCTGACGCCTTTTGGCTTTGCCTTAGAAGCGCCTTGCTTCCACGGGATTCCACGGCATCGGCATCCTCACTCCTCACTTACATTGTCGAACACACCTTCCGCAGCAACACCAACCTCCATATCAGCCCGTACCAAAGATCAAGTGATGACAGATTTCAGTCGACCAAGAAGAAAGGTGGGAGGACAAGGGAGAGAGACCAGAGCGCCGTGCTTGACTTCATAGAAAGCAGTAGAATGCTTGCAAGCCATGACGACGACACCTCCTTCGACAATGTGAGTTTTGAGCATGAGGCCCTTGATGTCGTTCTTCTCGCTGCCCTTCTTGTGCTTGCGCTGGAGTGGTTCTTGCTAAAGACTGTCTCCCTTTTTCAGGAGCGTGCAACGATTCCGACCAGGTGACTTGCCTTCCCCCGCCAGGTATGTTTGTGGAACAAGATAATGATGAGGTGGACTCCAACCTCATTGACTCCCACTCCGGCAACGCAACAGAAGCTTCGGTAAATACGAGGCCGACTTCAATGAGGTGCAAAGTGGACCTCCCAGGCCCAACGAGGTCTTCGAGCACTTAGGGACTTGCAAACAGACAACCAACTCCGGTGAGAGTGGCCTTGACATATTGGCAGTTGGTCACACATGTTCTTTTTCCCTAAGCCACTTGTCAGGTTTGCTTGCTTCATTGTTTTTCCTTTATCGCTTGAGCTGGGCTCTGGGCTTGCGGGGGTAGGCCCCTGGCGCCATGTGACTTCGCCTTGCGAGAGCGACTTGCTGGCCTCCCACAGCAACACCAACCTACATGTCAACCTCTAGCATTGTGATAAACGCCCCGCTGTTTTCGCAGGTGGAAACACTTAACTTGTGCGCTGGAGGGATTTGCGTGCGTCCGCAGTCTGCGCTCGCGACTCGCGCCTTTGTTTCTGATCACGTCAACCGAGGTTTGGCTGAGGCATTTGCCTGCGGAGCTTAAGCTGATTGGAGAGAAAGGACGACCCGTTGCGTCGAACGTTGCAACATGACCCTGCGTTGCGCCGGTTTATTGCGATGAGGACCTGATGGAAAGTACACAAAGGTGAGGTACTCAGAGCCACAGCGTGTGTCAGATCTTGCCGACTGCTCATGCCATTTGTGGTTAAGCCGTGTCTGATTTGATCAGGAACAGTTCGTTGAATATGTGGGGAAGCGTAGCGACCTTATGCGTTGGAGACATTGTAGCAAGAGCGGAAAATGTTCCTGTCGCGCGCGCTGAGACACCGAACCCGCATTCGTGGAATGCAGGTATGGTGGTAACATCTGGCGACGCCCTCAAAGCAGTTACCTAAATTCATGTTTTGAAAAATAAATATATATATATATATTATTTTTACAGTATATGTCATGTATATAAATATAATTATGTGTAACGTTCAAGAGACATAATTCCATTTTTGATTTGGAATGACATTTTACATGTTGTTTGCAGCTGTTGTCTAGTTTTCACTTATACGTACATTTTTTGATTACGTAGTCAAATGATAATCGTATGATATATATATATATATGTATATATGTGTGTATTGTTTTTCGGTTGTTATCATTCTATTGTTTTTCATTGTTATTGCCGTTATTTTTTATTGCGTAGGACGGTAACCCTTCGGCCCATTGCGCGCGTCCTTTTGGACGAACTTTTCAATTTTCTGGAGGAGGAGGGAGTAGGAGTAGTCGTCTTCGTAGTGGCAGTGGTCGTGGTAGTGGTAGTCCTTGTCGTCGTTGTATACAGCAGTGTTGGCGGCAGTCGCAGTCGTAGATCGTGTAGAAGAAGTGGTAGTAAAGCAGCAGTAGGGGTGGTAGCAGGAGGAGTATAGGAGCAGCAGCAGTAGCAGTAGCAGTAGCAGTAGGAGTAGTAGCAGTAGTAGTAGTAGTCGTAGTGGTAGTGGTAGTGGTAGTGGTCGTGGTAGTGGTAGTGGTAGTGGTAGTAGTGGTGGCGGTAGTAGGTAGTAGGTAGTAGGTAGTAGGTAGTAGTGAGTAGTAAGCAGTACGTAGTAGGTAGTACAGAAAAGGCAATAGGTAGTATAGCAAATGGTAGTAGCAGTAGTAGCAGTAGTAGTGTAGTAAGTCGTAGTCGTAGTCGTAGTCGTAGTCGTAGTCGTAGTCGTAGTCG